AACCAACAGCTCCTTACAGCTTCCACCAGATCCCAACAGCCTTTTGTCAGCTCCCAACAGCCTAACATCTTCTTCAGTTCTGCCTCTTATGCTGCTGGCAACAGTCCTCAGGTGGGCCTCCCACACCCAGCACCATGCTTACTCAGTTCAACTGGATGTTACAAGTTGACCAACTGTTGTCAATCCACCACAACTTTCTAAACATTTACAGAGCAGTTACTCATGTCCAGAGCATGAGTAATCCAGGACAGGAGAGGGTGACATGTGCTGTGACTAGGGGATGTACTGGAGATGGAGGACACTGATAGAGCAATATTTGAGCTGAGTCTTCATGGATGAGTTGGGTAAGGCAGGGGAGAATGTCTAGGGAGAAGGGACAGCATGATCAAAGGTAGAGGTGCAAGGGGCTGGGTAACTTCCAGGACCCCATGGAGTTGCAATAGAAAAGCCTTTGTTCACAGCTGAGAGTCCACATGGGCTGCTTGCTTGCTGCTTGCATTGCCTCTCCTATAAAGACACAGGGACCACTGTTGGGAGGGGGTTATTAGAGGAATCTGCTGATGGGAAGCATCGTTATTGCCAGAATTATCAACATCTGGCAATTATTATCATCAACAATTATTATCATCACCATCACCACCACCTCTACTTCTATCATGATCGCTCTAAGAGGAGGCATTTCCTCCCCTTCCCTGTATTTCTGCCAAACCCCATAAAAAAAGGAAAATAGTAACTTTGTCCTCCCAGAATTGTGAATGCACAGGTTTTACCTTTGTCTCTGCCTCCTGGCTCTCTCCTCCCTGAGGGAGAAGTGTCTCCTTAGGCTGATTATGGCTGCAGGCTGTTTTCTTCCTTTTCTCTGTGTGATAGCCTCACCTCGTCAGTATGGAATTTGGCTAAAGGAAATTTGGGTAGAAATCCAGGTTTTACTCACAAGTTTCAGGTAGTATTTTCCAACCAAGTCTTACCAGGGTGGAGGGAGAGCACTATTTTGCTACCTATCAGTTTCCTGTCTGTTTCTCAATTGCTTCAGAAACTACAGGAGTTTATCCATTAAGCACTGCCATATAATGCTGCATAAAATTATTGCAAATCCTTAGGGGCCTACAATCAGTGTGTTTATTGGTCTTGTGTCACCTGGTGTAATCCAGGTGGCTTTACTGACCTTGTGGAGAATTGCTTACATATCTGGAAGCCCGGAAAGTGTTGACCCATTGAGAAGGAGCTTAGCTCTCCTTCATGGTACCCTCATCTTTGGTAGTCAAACCCAGGTATATTCTTATGGTAATGGCTCAGGAGCAAGAGGGAAAGCTGAAATAAGAAAAGTCTTTGGGGACCTAGTTTTGGAACAGCTTCATCACTCTGGCTGCATTTTATTGAACACAGCAAGTTACAAGTGCTTCCAAATTCAGTGGGGAAACAGACTCTTCCTTTTTAGGGAGAGAGATTTCACACGGCTTGGATTCAGGAGGAATAACAAACTGGGCATGATTGCTGTTATGGTTTATAGCTAGATGTTCCCCCAAAGCCTCAAGTACCCATAGCAAGGTCTTTGGGAAGTGCTTGGATCATGGGGTGCCATAGTCATCAGTGGGTGAGCCGCTGATGAGTTTATAGCTAAACGTGCTGTTAGTAGGTGCAGCCTGGTTGGAAGAGGTGGACCTCTGGGGACAGGGCTTGAAAGGACACATATCCCTCCATGGCTCCTCCCTTTGTTCTTTGCTTCCTGACTGCCACAAGGTATGCAGATTTCCGCACCTAGGCCCTTCCGCCATGCAACCAACCATCCCAGGACAAAAACTTCTAAGACATGCACCAAAATAAACCTCTCTCGCTTTCAGTTGCAGGTGTGGAATATTTTTTCCTAGTAATGAGGGAAGCGACTAAGTTAATTGTTTGCTCAGAATTACAATCACTTTCACACCACCATGAACTGGACATCATCATGACTAAGGTCAGCATCCCCACCACCGCCACCATCGGCCCTCTGTGCCTGAGATGTTCGTAATACAATATGCCTAATTCTTCTCTCCTGGATGGGAACGTGTCTCACACACTCCAAGCTCATAATCTAATATCAGGGGTGAATCATTTTCTTGAGAGAGGAAGTTACAGCATCACTTTCTTTTTTTTCTTTTTTCAGGAGGAAACTAAAACGGGAGAGGTCAGCTGGTCTGGCTAAGGTCACACAGCTGAGCTGTGGGGCAGCCCAGGCTGTTCTCTGACCCCTTACCAAATGACAGATGTGCGCCTCCCCAGCATCAGCAAGTGGTGGGTTTGTCTTTTGCTGCCTCTCCAGGCACAAAACTGAAGACTTTCTAATGCGGAGCGTCTTTCAGGATCTGGGTTGCTCAACTCCCTTGGATTGGGAGGCTGCCTGCCTCACCCCTAAAGCTTAATTAAAATGAAGATGAAGTGCTCGCCATGACGGGTCACGCTCGGTGGCAGTCACTGCGCCAAGGACCCGGCGGGGCCCTCTGATGTTGAGAATTCTTCTCCAGCTTCTGTTCAGGCAGCAGCTTCCTCTGGGAGCCTCATTATAATTCCTTTGGTAATTAAAACAACAGATGTTATAATTAAAAGGCTCCTCATTAAATCACAAATAACTGAAGCTTGAGGTGGGGCCTCACTGAGCAGTGTCATCAAGTCACCTTTACAGGGAATAAAAAAGCAGGTGAAAGGGGAGGTCTCAGCCTGGCTCAGGGCTGCAAAAGGCAGCCAGGCTGGGAGTGTGCGTGAGGTGCCCTCAGATGCTCCAGGAAATCTCTCTCAGGGCCTTGGGCCCCAGTGAGGAAATGTGTGCAGGGAGAGTGCAGCGACCCCTTGAAGGGCTCCCTGGGGCCAAGATGCAGGAAAAGACCCAGTGGGAGGAGCCCTGGGAGTATCTTGCCTTGCTCATTTTTTTGAACTCAGAGACCAGGTCCATAGGGAGCTCCAATGATAACTGAGACACTGAGCACTTGGCATAGGGAAGGGGGAAGAAGCAGATGAAGATCCAGGATGCTTGGTTTTCATTCCGGCTGGGACACCCACTCCCTTCCTGGCACTGAGCATGCCCCACCTTTGAGTCGCGGTACCTTCATCCGGGAAATGGAGGAGGTAACACTGAACCCTGCACTGCTTCAGTGTGAGATGTTGTGAACCCTCCAGCTCCTGTCTGAGAACAGGGTCCTGGGAGTGTAGGCTGCCTAGGCTGCTATGAGGGCTTCTAAAAGGTGCCTCCCCAAACAGCTGCCTGAGCATGGCTAGATTTCTCAGAGTCAAACCCCACAGTGCTGCTGTTTTGAGCCCCATCCCCACCTCTCCATGCTGGCCATGCTGCTGGACTAGAGTGCATGTTATTATGGAGAGCCCAGGGCAGTAATGGCAGGTCTTTATTTAAAGAGCCTGATCTCAGCCCTTTGCTGTGGAAGAGCAGAGGGAAAGGCCCTGCCAGCTGGTCCAATGGCTTCAGAACCTCTTGCCTCTTTCCAGATTTGCCTTTAGGCAATTCTCATTCTCTCAGCATGCTTCCTTAACAATAAAATGAGGACAGTGAGGTCCCTGCCTTGATTATTAAATGGTAGAATAGTGAAGGCAGATACCCTATAGTGCTTACTACATGCCAAGAACATTCCAGAACTTTTCCAATGTTGATCCATTTGATCCTCCCAACAGCCCCATGGGAGGGTGAGTGAATAGAGCAGCTAGGTGGCTGCCTGGAGTTGGCGGGGAGAATACGCTTGCTAAGTTTGAGGACAGACCATGGCTGGGTGGTGGGGTACTGCGGGGGCCTCCACAGGATCCTACCCTGTCTAGCACTATCTTGAATCTTCTTTTCATCCTCTGTGGCTCACTGCAGGGCAACTCAAACCCACACAACTCCTGAAAGTAGATGCAAAGGGAAGCAATGCTTCTCCTCCAGGTGGCCTGAGCCAGGCTGGAGTAATCATCTAGCAGCTCAGAGCAGCACCTGGTCAGGTGGCAGCAGGGAAAGTGAGACAGAAATCAAGAACACAACCTCAAATACCAGAGTGAAAGCATCCAAGAGAGAATATATGAGATCTACCTTGTCCTGTAGACTCACTACTCTATACCAAGTCTAGCACTATAGCTAGCACCTAGAAAACACTCAGTAAATACTGCATGGGTAAATGGGTCACTGGACTGCATGATGGATAGATGCATGGATGAATGGATGGATAGGTGTTGGATAGGTGGGTGGATGGATGGATGGAGGAATAAGTGGAAAGTAGGTTGAGTGAATACTCAGAGCATTAAGTGGTTACCATTTATCGAGTCCCTGCTATGGCCAAACACTACTTACTTCTATCTAATTTTCATTGCAGCCTGCAAGGTCAGCTTCATCATTCTCATTTTATAGACTGGAAAGTGCAGTTAAGTAACCTACCTAAGTGCACACTCTGAACCCTGATGTGAGCAGTTTCAAAGCTGTGTTCTTCCTACGCGGCCACTCAGCTTTTAAGGACCATCTGATGTCCAGAAATACTGGCCATGCAGAGGGTAGTGCTGGCTTTGGGGGATGCACAGGGGCCAGGGGGCCCAAACAGTGGTAGAGATTCTGCTTGGCATTTCTGAGAGATTTTGGTATTTGACCTGGGTTTTTAAGGTGAAAGAGGGGTCAGAGGGCACTCTAGGTAGATGGAAAAGCATTTGCAAACTCAAAGAGGAATGAAGGTAATTTAAAGTATAGGATTCTTGCTGGTGGCTTCAATGAGGGAAGAGGTGTGCAGAGAAGGGATATGAATGAAGGGGAGGCTGAGGCCAAGGGATGAAGGGCGTCGAATTTTAGTCCATGAATTCAGAAGCTATCGGAGGTTTTGAGCAGGGGACTATAGTGCTCAAACATACAGTAAGAAAGCTCCATCAGCATTGGAGGGATAAAGATGTTCAGAGGTGGGGAGACCTGATGCATACATCTGGATGATTCTAGTTATTCTCATAAGTCATAAAATTATAGCAGATTGGGATGAAATGGCCCTTAAAGACCATCTCCAAACTTTCATTGCATAAATGGCAAACTTGAGGCCCAGAGATGGGTAGCAAATGGCTTGAGGTCATACAGCAAATTGGTAGCTGACCAGGACCAGAAGCAGCAGCCCCGCGGAGCTGAGCATTCCTTCCTGTTGTCTTTCATGACCCTTGCGTGTTGAGCAGAAACCAAACTGGTGGCTCCACGAGTTGTGGAATGCCAGCACATCTGTGAGGTTTGTGTGAAATGATGCTCCTAATAAATTTTCCCCCTTGAGGACAATGAAATACAAAAGGAGGGGGCAAGTGCTTGACAGGGTCTCTGATTAACGCCAAATACAGACGTTTTTGACAATAAAGGCCACTGGCACCACTGAGAAACGAATGATGTGAATACAACAGCTTCCAGCTGGACAGGCAGTGCATGGGGGCTCAGGGGTGACTGAGTCAGGGGCCTGGCAGACAGGGAAGAAACCAACAGCTGCTGGGGTCATGCTACCCCTCAGAAGGAGAAAGTCTGCCCATGGCGTCCCCACCCCACACCCTGCTGCCCGCTCCCTGGAGAATTCTAGGTCGTCTTGTGTACCAGGCAGAAGGACTGTGTGCTATAGGTTGTGATCAAGACATATTTTGTTGTAGAAATTCGGTTAAAAAAGAAAAGAGTAATAACTCATTATCTTGCAGTGTCTTTCATTTTTATTTTTTTTTAACTGATAGCAGCATTGTCCCATTAAAAAAAAACAATTAGCTTAGTAACATAAGCACCTACAAATTCAGGATCACATAAAAAGATTTATAGCTCGAACCCTAAACACCTTCCTCCAGGCTCCACCCTCCAATTGGCCTGGACTGTGCACCATCTCTTTCCTAAACCTCTCTTGGATTGCACGAGACAGCACTGCTATCCCTGGATGGAGCCCCACAGCTGCCTCAGGCTCTCCCGAAGGATGGATGACCAGTCCCTTCCACACATGGCTTTCTACTTCACGATAGATTCCTTTTCCACTGGTCCTCAGAGATGAGATCTGAGAAATACACACAACCCAGCCTCCCATAGGCTCAGAGCTCCCGTGGAGGTGTGGCTTTGAGCTTGGGTGAATTAGGGCTCTTCTGGTCCCTTGCAGAGGGGAGGGAGGTCATGCACCTGGATTCCTTTCAAACGGGCACAGAATCTCCCCACACTTGCTCAGCTGTTCCAGCCCCATTGTACAGTTTGTGCTTCCTCAGTTTACATCTGTGCTACTGGAGGGGACACCCTGCAGCACCTTCCTCCAAGGCCTGCTGCACCCTGCAGCTCAGAAAAAACTGGGCTCTGCATACTCAAAGCAGGGTGTCCAGATTCGCTCCTCTCTGGGCCTCAATTTCCCTGTGTTAAGATTGATCTGCATCACACTCAAGATTGCCTGAAGTAACAATGCATAGGAGATTCGTCCCCCAAACTGGTCTAACAGTGACATCTGCAACTGATCTGATGGGGCTTGACTCAGGCTGTGTGTAGAGAGCCTGGGGTCTCTTGGGTGGTGCTTTAGCCATTTTGGTTCTTAGTTTTGGAGACTGGGAAGTCAAGATGAAGATCCTGGCTGATTTACTTGCTAATGAAGGCTCTTTCTGATTTGTTGACAGCCAACTTCATGCTATATCCTCTCACAACCCAAATGCCCATCAACTGAGGAATGGATGAAAAAGATGTATTTTTATGCAATGGAGTATTACTCAGCTATGAAAAAGATAAACTCGAGGCTTTTATAGGTAAATGGGTGCAGCTTTGAGACCATAATCATAAGTGAAATAAATCAGACCTGCATGTGTAAGCACCGCATTGTCTCACTAGTGTAAGAATCTGAAAGAATCAATAAAACCCAAAACATACAATAGATAATATGAAAGGGAAAGAAATTGCTCAAAGGAAGGAACAACTGGAATGAGGAAAAGAAGAAAAAGAAAGAAGGAAGGCAAAATATGAATATATACATATATAGAAGGATAGCTGGGATAACTGTACTGCTCATATCTGGTGCTTTATTGAAAGGAACAGTTAAATGCTTGAAATTTTTTATATTTTGACCAATTTTGCATGCTTATATCTGGTAATCTGAGCAACTGACTTGAAGACAACAATATGCAATGGAATAACCATGGGTGAATTCCTACCGTCTTGTCTAGTGAAACTCTGTATCATCTCTAATGTTTTCTTTAATAATTTTTGTATTTTCTTTAATGGTTTGAACAGTCTTCTACTCTTAGTCACATGGTAGAAAGAGCTCATCTCTTTCATATCTTATCATAGGAAGGCACTGGTCCCGTTCATAATGGCTCTGTTCTTATCATCTAATTATCTCCCAAAGGCCCACTTCCCAGTACCATTGGATTGCAGATCAGGGTTTAAGCATGTAAATTTTGAGGGACACAATTATTCAGGCCCTGGCCATGGAGAGCTGTGAGCCTGCAGATACGTGGCCTGAGCACTTGCATGAAAGGGTCCTTACAGGGACCTGGACCTGTCCTCACCTGACAGCCAGTTCGAGTGGGGTCCAGGGAAAGGGCACAGTGTGCGAGAGCCAGAAACCCAAGGGCGTTGTCTCAGA